GGTCAACATGTAAATTTGTTTTTTCCTGTCTGATGGATTTCTCCTAATAGCTTCATCCTGCTTCTCGCAAGGCTTATATTGTGTTAATCAATGATAGGACTTCATTTATAATTCAACCTTATCTGATGATTTGCTTTCGATTTTAATCCAATGACAGAAACTGCAGATTACTTCATTGCTCTTTTGTTGCCTATAGCTTTTTTCCCTTCTATGTTGCATTATTAGTTGTTCTTTAACAGTGTGGCTAACATGCAACTTTAACAGGAACTCACCTACAACGCAATAACTCTATCATTCAACTTTCTAGAACAAACTTATTTTGTGTCTCAGTTGTCTAATTGCTCCACTTCTAGATTATTATTATTTTCATGTTGGATACAATGAAATTTGTTTTTTTGCTCTTCTATTTGTTCTTTTACCTTTTGTTTTCTGTTTTGCTTTCTCGGTTTTGCTCTTGTAGCCTGAGTTTTCAATTTGTTGTGTGCAGAAGAATGAAAACTTGGGATAAGTTTGTGCAGAATAGCATGACTCTTCTTTTATAATCTAGGTTGGCAAAAGTTTTGAGAAATTGCATACATGGTTTATACATTTGACATTTTCTTCAGAGAGACAAGGAAAAATGTCAGTGATTTGAAGGATCTTATTTTATATAATGAACTTGTAGATTTATAACAAGCAACTATTGGATTCCTAGTGTATGTCAAGTCAGCACCTTGGATTGCTTGTTCTGATGTTTCACTTTCTAGATTAGTTGCTGCATCTCGCCGTTATTTTGATTTGCTGTATTGACCAGAGCTAACCTCACATTAAGTCTTTAACAAGCAAAAGAACTAGATATTGTTCTCTGCACATGTTACAAAAGTAACACTAATCAACAACAACAACAACAACAACATACCCAGTGTAGTCCCACAAGTGGGGAAAAGTAACACTAATCATGTTAGTTAAAAACATCTAAGAAGCCCCTCATGGTTGGTCTTTGGATGTAGTTTGATATTTGTAATGCTATATTCGTTTTACTCCCTATATTGCTCAAGCTCTTGGGACCGGATATCTGAAGGGAGGCAAGTCCCCGGCCCCTCAACCCCCTCTTACCTGTCTCTTTGTGAAATGATAGCAGAATTATCATTTGAATTGTCTTTTTCATTTCAACTTCAGGTAGATTACGCTTGCACACCTGAGGAAGTGCAGCAACATTTTCAATCTTGTGGTACTGTAAACAGGGTAACTATCCTGACTGACAAGTTTGGCCAGCCGAAAGGCTATGCTTATGTCGAATTTGTTGAAGTTGAGGCTGTTCAAAACGCACTTCTGTTAAACGAATCAGAGCTTCATGGACGGCAGTTGAAGGTCCATAACAATCCTTAATCTTTTGTTCGCTGTTTCACTTTCTAGACGTTCTACCACTGTATTCTTTGTCATGTAGGTATCTGCTAAGCGGACAAATGTTCCTGGTTTGAAGCAATTTCGAGGAAGGCGATTCAACCCTTATGCAGGATTTCGCCCTCGGCGTCCATTCATGCCTGGTGCTCCAGTCTTTCCACCTTTTGGGTAATTAACGATGATGCTATCCCTCGTAGAACATTTATTTTGTTGTGCCCAAATAAAAAATATATCTGTTTACATTCAAATGGAACTATTGATGCTGCTTCTATATGACCATCTAGTGCTTGAAGCTGCTTCTATGTTCTACCATCGTGCTTGAGAGAACTCCCTTACCCTCGGGTTTTCTTTTTACTTTTCGTTTTCCCCAGAGGCGAGGTTTTGAGTTACGTAACTTGAACTTTTGTTTCCATGGCTATTTGCTGTTTTAGACAGTTTTACTAATGCAAGAGTGATGCTGTTTTACTGTTACATGGGGCAATTTCTTTTTTCCTTTTTTCCTGTTTCTTTTCTTTTTGTTTTGTCTTAGGGGATAGGGGAGGCCTAAAAGAGGCATATCAAGATATGAGCAGTTCATAGTACATCTTGCCACCATAGACGCTAGATGAGCTACGAAATCATGAAAAAAGTTCAAGGAATTTTCAACATTAAGAATATGCAAGTGGCTTACATGACGAGTACGGTCGGTGGTTTTGTATTTGGGGGAAAAGCTAGAAGTATCTTAACAAATGGGTTGCAAAAATATTTTATGTTCTTGATCTTTCTTTCAAGTACAACTTTCCCTTCTCTCCTCCAACCCAAAAAGAAAAGGCCTCATATTATTTACTTATCCAGAACAAAGTGAATCTTTGCTCGACCACTCTTTTGGGGTAAGCCATCTTTGACTAATCTCTAGAACAGGAGCAAAGAGATGCTGGGGACAGAGATCAGAGCAGTTTCCATCCTGACCATAATACTGCCGTCCCGGCCCTTGTCACTCCTGCAAACATTGGGAGATAATGCTTTGCTTATCTCCTTCTTACTCTTGAAATTTAGTTTAAATTCCAGTAATCCTGTCAGTTGCAAGTTCATCTGTTATTTATCTCGCTCTGTCAATACGATAACAACATCAACAAACCCAATGTAATGCCACAAGTGGGGTCTAAGGAGAGCAGAGTGTACGCAAATCTTATCCCTACCTTGTGAGGGTAGAGAGACTGTTTCCGATAGACCCTCAGCTCAAGGAAAGATGAAAAAGAGGCAATAGCAGCAAGCAGTAATAACAACACGATAGTAGATTAACCGAAGCGAAAGAAGCAAGAACAGGGATAAGAATAAGAAACTGAAACAAAGTAAAAGAAAATTAAGCATAAGAAAATACAAGAGCAATACTAGTACTACCGGTATGGTGAAGAAATACGCTCAACTACCTATTAACTAGCTACCCTAATACTCGACCTCCACACCCTCCTATCAAGGATCATGCCCTCGGTAGGCTGAAGCTGCGTCATGTCCTGCCTAATCACCTACACTCGATACTTCTTTGGCCTACCTCTACTTCTCATACCTACCAAGGTCAACCTCTCACATCTCCTTATTGGGGCAGTTGTGCCCTTCTTTTCACATGCCCGAACCATCTTAACCTCACTTCCCGCATCTTGTTCTCCATGGAGGCCACTCCCACTTTGTCCTGAATATCTTCATTTCTAATCTTATCTCTCCTAGTATGCACACACATCCATCTTAGCATTCTCATTCTACCACTTTCATCTCTTGGACATGGGTTTTCTTGACTGGCCAACACTCTACCTCATACAACATAGTCGGTCTAACCACCACTATGTAGAACTTACCTTTAAGTCTTGGTGCTATCTCGCTCTGTCAATGTTGATATTAAATACGCTTGGAGCCTTAAGGCTTTTATGACCAGAACTTTTTTTGAAGGATGTCCAGTTGAATGTCAAGTGGTCCCCCAACTTGGATATGACCTATTCTGAATGCCTCATGGGGTGTGCACGTCCACATAATCTACTTGACACACGTTTGTCTGAATTAAACAGTTGTTTTCCTTTACCCCTGCCTTCCTGAGCAGTAGTCCAGAGTTCCCTGCCTTGAAATAAAATGGAATCATGAGTTGTACTTGGTTTGCTGCATTTTTAGGCTTAATGCCTTCAAACGAAGTAGGATGTTGTGTTTCGTGTAAAGCCAGAGGATGTGTCATAGTAATTTTGTTGATCTGAAATGGTAATTTTTGTGTTTAGTGTTCTTTCTAAGGGTTAATTTGGTCTGTTGGTATTTTGACTAAATATGACCTATATAGTTTTACGCTTCTGGATTAGCTGCTCAGCTACTCGAACTTGTCTATTTTCAAGTTTATCAGTGTGCTTCAGAAGATGAAACCTACGATCTCATCTTATTGATGGAAGGGTCAAGTCAACAGTTTACTCAAATAAACTAGATTGCCTCCTTCTGTGTGTAATGTATGTTACACAATCACGGTTACATATGCCTATCTAAAGATGCATCACTGACCTGTTTTTTAAGAGGTTCCATCACTAAACTGTTAAACGAGAATAATGTAAAACTTACACGTTGGGTATTTTTGTTGCACTATGTATAGACACATGTAAACTTATATTGATTCAATATTTGTTGGTTATAGTTTTGTTCAATTGAATTCTATTTTCTATTTATCCTATAAGTATCCAAGATAGGCTGGTCCTAATCTTTTTAATATCAAAGAGAACTGAAATTGGTTGGATGCTTTATGCTTTCCTGAACAGAGAGCTGGAACTTCCCGAGATTTTAATGGAAGAGTAAGAGAAGTTTTACTTTCTGAGTCACCCACCAATTTACTTGTGTGAGGCTCATGTAAAACTTGACAAGTGAATGCTTGGTCCGGCTTTGTTAGTTCCAATATTTTATCTCAGTCCAACCAAATTTCAATCTCGCCCCTTTAGTATTAAAAATTTTGGGGAGGAACCATAGCCGCACCAACTTATCAGAAGAAGGCCTTTCATTGCACACTCAAATCAAATATCAACCTTCAAATTTTGAACTTCTCATCCTCTTACTGATCTAGCCTTTAATTTTTTTTGTCTCTTTGGATTCCTATCTCTTCACTTCCTTTCCGTATTCTAACTTCTTATGCGACCCACAAATGATTCACGCTCCCACTTTGCTGTAGAAGCTCAGTACTGCAGTAAAAATTTGGGCCACCCACCACAAGGATTTTGAATATTGAAGATGAGTGGAAAAGATGCTTATGGGAAAAGATGCGACCCACGGATCAATGGTAGTAACAGTGATAGGACCTTAGGATCTTTGCTCTTTTGAAGTCTTTTTTGGATGAGGATGAAGGAAAATATCTAGATTGGTATAGTGGGTTTAATTTGAACCAGAGAAGGGCAGAAGGATGGAAGAATTTTTTTCTGTTTTTCCAAATCATATCTGATAGATTTTTTGCAAGTGGGATCCAGCATTCCATGTGTTAAGTTTTAAAAGGAGCCTCACACAAGTAGTATTTGATGTGTAAGTCACAAAATAAAATAAAATGGAAGAGTAAATCTTCAAATATTTATTGATCTGGATAATAGTAGTCCTAATTAGCATGCTCTCGTTTCCTCCTTGGCTCTTCACTATGTAAAGCTACAATAGTAAATAGTTTTGTGGTTTTTACTTTTGTTTTTGTGTTCACTGCCATGGTCATGTTTTGCCTTCTCATGATCCAACTACTGCTTGTTGATGATTACATCAAACTTCTGGTAATTGATTTAAGTTGAAAAGTTTTCTGTTATTTTCTCATTTACAGAAGGATTCCAAGGTTCAGACGCCCCACCCGCTACAGGCCATACTAGTGGATTTTAGTCCGGATTGCATGGCCTTCCCGAGGAAAGCATGGGGCTCCCGTAGGGAGAGACGTGTCTCCTTGTTACTCTCTTTGGTTTCCTTTGGGGAGTGCAAAGGATGTTATAGTTCAAATTTTCTGTACCATTTAAGTTAAAGGGGCTGACATAAGTTTCAGCTTTGTCGAACATGCTTTAGGTTTGTTGGGACACAGAAGTTGTTTCTATTACTGGCTTGCTCAGGTGACATGCCTCTGGGCGGCAAAAGGGAAAAACAAACGGACAGATATTTGTTGTAGGTGGTTATACTCTTTGAATTATGCCCCTGATTTGACGGGGGAACTAAAGGTGTGCTTTAAGTTTGACGGGCATATAGCTCCTCTACCAAAATCCCCTGGCACCCTTTCCCCATTTCTGCATGCATTATGATCTAAATTAGAAAGCAAAAGTGGAAGAAACTGAGGTATGCGTTTTAGTGTTCCAAAAGTTGAAATTTGCTGAGAAAATAATGGGTTTCGTTTTCATTGAGACTGCAAACGAGGTGCTTAATCTCTATAAACGCTACAGACGGTGAGATTGATTAAAAAATTCCGTAAGTTTTCTTATGGCTGTATCCAGACACCTTAGAGCGTAACTGTCAACCATATGCAACCAGGGATGGAGTTATTCGATCCCTGGTTCATTATTTCCTGTGTTGCTTCCACCGCATACTTCATTATTTGCGTAAAAATTGCATAGGACGTCATATTTGGTTGCTCATTTTTAATTTACACCCGTTTTATTTTTCTGTTTGCATCCGTATCTATTTTTTTTTGTTAAAAGCGTTTTAAAAAGATGATTTTGCCCTTCTTTAATAAAAGACTATTGACAAAACTGTAGACTGCACGACAAAATTGCATCATGTTTTGGTATGAACTAAATAACTTCAGCATGTATTAGAAAAAACTAATTACAAAATTACATACCGCAAGACAAACTTAAGCATGTTTAGTCTGAAGTTTTAGCAAATGAACTAAAAAACTTCAGCTTGTTTAGACCGATGTTTCAGATAAACTCATGACAAAACTGTAGACTGCATGACAAAACTTCAGCATGTTTTGGTATGAACTTTTAGCAAATGAACTAAATAACTTCAACATGCATTAGCAAAAACTCATTAGAAAATTACATACTGCAATTCAAAAACTTAAGCATTTTTTTAGTCTGAAGTTTTAGCAAATGAACTAAAAAACTTAAGCATGTTTAGTCTGAAATTTTAGCGAATGAACTAAATAATTTAAGCATGTTTAGTCTGAAATTTTAGCAAATGAACTAAATAACTTCAGCATGCATTAGCAAAAACTCATTAGAAAATTACATATTGCAAGACTTTAAGCATGTTTAGTCTGAAGTTTTAACAAATGAGCTAAAAAACTTAAGCATGTTAGTATGAAGTTTTAGCAAATGAACTAAATAACTTAAGCATGTTTAGTCTGAAGTTTTAGCAAATGAACTAAAAAATTTAAGCATGTTTTGTCTGAAGTTTTAGCAAATGAACTAAAAAACTTAAGCATGTTTAGTCTGAAATTTTAGCAAATGAACTAAATAACTTCAGCATGTTTTAGCAAAAACTCATTAGAAAATTACATATTGCAAGACTTTAAGCATGTTTAGTCTGAAGTTTTAACAAATGAGCTAAAAAACTTAAGCATGTTAGTATGAAGTTTTAGCAAATGAACTAAATAACTTAAGCATGTTTAGTCTGAAGTTTTAGCAAATGAACTAAAAAATTTAAGCATGTTTTGTCTGAAGTTTTAGCAAATGAACTAAAAAACTTAAGCATGTTTAGTCTGAAATTTTAGCAAATGAACTAAATAACTTCAGCATGTTTAGATTGAAGTTTCGGATAAAACTCATGACAAAACTGTAGACTGCAGGATAAATAACCTCAGTGTGCATTAGCATGAAGTTTTAGCTTCAACATGAAACAACTTCATGCTACATTAGCATGAAGTTTTAGCTTCAAGGTGAAACAACTTCATGCAAGTGTGATTCTAAAGATGAATCTGGACAAGTTTATGATTTTTTGATAAAGCTGGAGAGGAGGAAATCTTTTTTTACGAATGAGGTTGCAGATCACGCGATTAATGCGTGATGCAGGTTTTATATCTTTTGTCAAGGGTGTAATTGTCATATTATTACAAATATTTTGGCAGTTGGCTACCAAATCAATAATTTTTAAAAATAGGGTACATGTTAAAAGGTAACACAAATATAGGGTACGACTGCAAATCTCCCATTATTTGCTGATAAATAAACCTCGATGTATGCATGTGATTCGTCATATTACAATATTCAAACCCAAAAAAAAAGGAAATTTGGAAAAAAGAAATAGAAAAGTTAAGGGAGAATGACACGGTTACCCACAAAAATAAAATTATTTACCCTTGCCTACCCATTTATTTTTCTACCCATCAAACTAATTACATTTCCTACCCATAGTAGTTTTTGTGGGGAATTTTCTCCAATACTTTTTTATTTCTATGCTTTTTGCCTTTTTTTTTTATTTCTTTTCTCTTTTTCTTTTTTTCTCGTTTTCTTCTTATTTTTTCCTTTTCTAATTTCATTTAACTTATTTTTTTATATTCTTTTTCTCTTCAAAATCTAATTTCATTTACTGTTTTCAATATTTTTTATTATTCTTTTTTTATACAATAAGAAAAAATAATTGATACCGTAAATATTTGTTCACCCTTTTTTTTTTTAATATAACTAGTATAATATACCTTTTGTCTTTTTTCTCATTTTTAAATTCAATTATTAAACTGAAATAATATCAGTTGTCACTTGATCTAATTCACTGAATATCACATTAATTGCTGTTGAGCACCATAAATTACACAATCATATTCTAAGAATCAACACGTGATTGTCATGCAAACTTTGATCTCCTTCCCTATAAATATCAGTACACACTCGACCATTAGTAGTAACACAACCAGTTATGGAGCAAGAAAACATAATCTATTGCCACCAAATCTCCATATATACTAGTTCGAACAGAAATGATAATAAAATATTAGAAAATGCAATAAAAGTATAAGTAGCAAAAAAGACTTCTAGTACCATATCATACCAATATGGTATACATGTATACCAACAGAGTATATGATTTCTCTAGAATATTGCTACAACTATCTGCGACTATACTATTGTACCAAAACATTAAAGAATGCAATAAACGTATGAGAGAATTACATGCTCGCATTGCAAGCTAAATATTCGGAAAGCAACTTATTCATTCCGTATACTAATAGGGTATATAGTTGTATGGGGTCGTTCCAACAATTACCTATAACTATAAAAATTATTACATAATACACATAATCTATGTCCATCGGCACAAAAAAAATCCAGCACTGTAAATCATGTTCATATAAATAATTTCAGAATAGTAATCACTTAAAATTGCAGCTAAAACAACCAAAAAAAAAAATGCTCAAACTACCATATGATAACAATATGGCATATAACTATACCAACTTGGTATACAACTTTACTGGTTAAATTTTGGCAACTGTATGACTATACTACTATTACATAACTCACATGCATAAAGAGAAAAAAAAAATAGTGTATCACATATTAATATAATAAAGCATTTCAAGATATTGTACTATATTACTATTATTAAAAGAAAATCAAATAGTGTACCAATTAAATGCAGCTAATACAATCAAAAAATAATTCAACTAGCATATGATACCAATATAGTATATAACTATACTAATAGAGTATATAGTTGTACGGGGTCATTCCAACAACTGCATATAACTATAAAAACTATTACATAATACACAAAATCTATGTCCATAGGTACAATAAAATCCAACACAACAAAACATGATCATATAAATCATTTCAGAATAGAATTCACTTAAAATGCAGCTAAAACAACCAAAAAATATTCCAATTACATATGATACCAATATAACATATAATTGTGATGACCCAAAATGTCATCTTTAAATTTAATAAGCAATTTTGTGTTCTAAAACCTCGAAAAGTACTAATTATCATTCCTCGGCTTGCGTGCGCAGTCCGTTGACTTTGGTCAACATTTTTAGCAAACGGATCCGGATCAGTATTTTAATAGTTCCAGTAGCTCCGTATCGTTATTTGGAACTTGAGCGTATGCCCGGAATTTAATTTGGAGGTCCTTAGCTCAAGTTATGACCATTTAATGGAAACTAGTAATTTATAGGCTAAAGATTTCCAAGTTTGACCACGGGGTTGACTTTTTGATATCGAAGCCAGAATTCGATTCTAGAAATTTGAATAGCTCCGTTATATTATTTAGGACTTGTGTGCCAAAATTAAAGTCATTCCGGATTCATTTAATATGTTTTGGCACGAGATTTGTAAATGGAAAAGTTTAAAACTCAAAGTTCGAATCGAGGCGTGAATTGCAATTTCGATGTTATTTGACGTGATTTTAGACCCCGAGTAAGTCCGTATTATATTAAGGGACTTGTTGGTATATTCGAACGGGGTCCCGAGTACCCCAAATGTGATTCGAATTGAAATCGGAACAAGAATTGGACTTAAGCAAAAATCTGAAATTTGTCCTTCTGGTGTAATCGCACCTGCGAATTTTTGACCGCATGTACGAGCTCGCAGAAGCGAGCCTTCGATCGTAGATGCGCCCGGGCGTGGCTGGGCAAAAGTACGCAGGTGCGGAAACCTGCATGCACCCGCGCGTCCGCAGAAGCAGACACAATAATCGCAGAAGCGGAGGTCAGCGCAGGTGCGCAGTGTTCCTCCGCATGTGCGAGGCCTCACCTGGCAGCCCCATTTCGCAGATGAGAGATTTTTCTTGCAGATGCGAGCTCGCATGTGCGAGCCCAGGCACCGCATGTGCGAAAATGCCTGGGCAGTGTATATATCGAAGAGTCCGATATTATTTTCACATTTTGATCGTTTTGAGCTCGGTTAAGGCGAATATTTGGGCGATTTTCACGGAAAACATTGGGGTAAGTATTCATTATTCTATATTGATTATATTTCATGATTCCATACTCGTTTATATCATGAATCCGTGAATTTATGGAAGAAAAATTAGATTTTTCTAAAATCTTTCAAAAACAAAAAATTTAGATTTGACGGTCCATTTGATATCGGAATTGGATAATTTTTGTATGGTTAAACTCGTAGCAGAACGGGTGTTCGAATTTCGCAAGTTTTTTCGGGATTTGATACGTGGGTCCCAATGTCGAATATTTTAATGAATTTCGGATTATTATCCGAAAAATTATTAAATTCATATGGAATTAATTCCTATGATTCGTATTGAGTATATTGAATTGTTTATGAATAGATTTGAAACTTTTGG